CTTTCATATAAAGAATACTAATGAAGATGAGTTTTATCATATATAAAGCGTCTTCACGTGACATATGATGGTTGACATAATTTGCCAATGAGCTTATGCATTATTATGATTGTTTGAAGGTAAACGAAGCTAAGCCAAGGCAAGGCACATTATTTTTATTACCTAGCAATTGCGGACCAATGGAACTCTTGTTTTTCTCGATGGCGTCGGCAGATAACATTAACGACTTTTTGAGAAGTTTGATTTCGTGCTGCAAGGGCATCTCCAGGAAACGAAAATCTGATACTAGAGAGGGAACATTCGTGTGATTCACTTTTTGTTCAAGCCAGTGAAAGTGGAAGAAGAGTTGAAGTAATTCTCTATGTTGTTTGGAGGAGTGAAGGTGATAGGGTAGATACTTGAAATAATAGTGTCTTTGGGAGGAACTTGAAGTAGTGGTCCATTCACCGTTCACGCATTGGCCACGAAGTGTTTTCACGAACACGCGCTCGACATCAGTTAGTGTGCCTGTGGCTTGAAGTTTCTTCCGGGCAAAATTTAAGAGTAGATCATGGACACGGTAGTAGCTTGTCTTCCCTTGGAGTTCAGTTCCTGAAAAAGGTCGACGGGGAGCGTTCATGTTAGTAACCCGATTTGTACTAGACACGGATTGTCAGTTTGGGGCCGGTTGTACAAAGGCGGCATACCGCTATCCAACGGATAGTGATTGTTTCAAATTTTCTAAAATTGTCTGTTGAAAAGTACAAGATTGAATAAAGTTCAGTAATTACTCATTAAAAGAGTTTTTATAATTATTGCGAGGCCTATATCTGTAGCTTCACAGCTTTTTATGCACGTTTACGAATTTTGAAGAATCACTATCCGGTGGATAGCGCTATCCGTCTTTGTACAGCCGACTCCTGGATATCTTGGGTAAAGAAGAGATAGTTTGCATGACAATTTATCTTCGTATCAACAAAGGCAACAAACAAATCATCAGTGAAGACGAACTTATCTACTGACTTATCCCACTCAGATAGACTTATGTTGCGTGAATTAAGATCGTCTTCACGAGTGTTTATACACAACGGTGTATAAACACTGTATTAAGCGAATAGTTACAATCGCAAGGAATTAGAAGTACTGCTCCAAACTCGACGTTCTCAAAAGATAGATCGGAAAAAAGCCTGGGCACATATTGGGCTATTTCGTGCTGTTTAAAACGCCGAAAACTACATGAAAGAGCGCTGCTTTTCACAGGAATGCGCGCTTAACCGCTTATGGCTGTTAATTTTTGACAAAAATAATTTTACATGTATTAGTCCAAAGAGGTCAAATAGTCAGATAATACAATCGTACAATTTGCGTTTATTTTTCGGTTTATTATGTTTGCTAATTGAATTTGCTAATTGGAATGGACGTCCGTCTATTACGTTTGGTAATTGGAACGAACATACGGGCATCTAGCTAATGGACACAAAATCGAGATTGCGACAACATATCATAGAAAAAGTAGATGCAATATGCAATATATAGATCGCGCGAAAGACTGGGTCGAATAAATTCTGAAGAAACGCAAGCTCGTACCCAGAGTCAAGATGATGGCTCTGGGTACGAGATTGGGAGAAATGTTGTCAGTGTCAAGAAAAATCTGCTCGACAACTACTATCTTTTTCGAAAAAGATCAGGCATGATTTATTCCGAAAATCATCTCCAGTATAGATCGTCCTATTTTGGCTACTTGGTCTGGTCCATTGATCTGGTCTACTCAGAAATGTGGGATCTGTCAAATGGTTATCAAAAATGCAGTTCTAAATTTGGAAAGTACGCTCCTAAAAATACAGTATTTTTTCCTGATGAAAACCACAAACCTGAAATAAACTAGCATTTGGTTTATTTGGAAAATGTTACCCAATGACAAATAATTTCTTGAATGAATGTGAAATTTTAACTAAAAGTTTGAATTCAGTTTTGATCGATTGGCGATAACCTTCAAAAGCAGTCTTGAAATGTTAATAAAATATTACGCTTTTGGTCGAAATACAGGCTACACGTATTTTACCTCATACTAACGAAAAACACAAACCAGAAAACTCAGTGGCCGAAAACCTGCAATAAATGTCACTATATAGAAATTAACATTTTCCCAGGTGCGGAATGGAGCATTTGTGTTGTGAAAACGTCCCGTCCCAAGCGGGATCCTGGTTGTTAAACCGGGATCTCACCTTGCACAGACCGAACGAAAAGCGTCTCGCTTCCATGCAAACAGAATGCGACAAATATGAGGGAAATGTATTTATACAATAACTACAGTGAAACACGCAACTTGATTGGTCAATAGCCGTACAGGATCTAGTCTCCTATGCAGACCTACTTTAGCGGGTTTGGGCCCGCCACGTACGGTCTGCTTACTTTGGCTAGCAATTCGCCTTCCCATTGTATACCATTAGCCAACAGCATTCAAATACACTAGACACGCCCACTTTGAATGTCAACTGTAAAGTGTAATACACAAGGAGCGTGCGATAATCGAATAATAATACCATTAATACGCTATATATACGTATTTAAATGGCCATAAATGTGAACAGATCGAGTTTTCTGATCAATAGCAGTCGAAGTAGAAAATATTGAATATTTTTCCAACGAATGTACGCGATAGGTCGAAGGCTTAAATGTATATAAAACTATTCACTGGTAATACAGTACTTGTTTTGAACTTGACGCGACTGCGTGACGGCATGTATATTCAATATATACTATAAGTTTCCGAACGTTCAATATCAGAGGATCTCAGAGCGACTTTTGTAATTACGATTTTATTAAACTTTATAAACTGGCTAGGCATATACAAACTTAGAAACCGAAATGTGCAATGAATCAATTCAGTATTTTATATAGGCTGAATTCTGTAATCTTCATGCAATTAGTATTTATAAATCTATCGATCTACACCCGCAGTATTAAAATGCACACAGTAACTTTATAACTTTGTGTTGAGGTCTTTGTCCAGTATATTACCCGTGTTACAGTAACACATGCAAACGCTTGTAAAGTAATAAAAACATCGCGAAATATTTTAGGTGATATTGTTCGATTTTACTACACTGTCTGTTTAAAACAACAGCTCGGCAAATTCTAACAGATTTTACAATTGTTCCATATTGTAAATTTGTAGACTGGTATATATGTATATAACAAATCACTGTGAACAAATATATCTCTCAGCTCTCGCAGATAATTGGTTTAAGATATGAATATGTACAAATGAAGATATGAAATGTTCAAGATTAAATGTTTTGAAACTTTTGACGACCCAAGCCTCAAGGTCAAAGGTCAAGCCCCACAATTTTCGTGGGTAAAGCTGTGATTGGCTCATTTTGAGGAAAGGAATTCTTGGCCAAAGTAAGCATACCTTACGTGAGGGCTCAGACCGCTAAGTAGGTATGCGTAGGAGACTATGCAGGATCAGGCAATTCTGCACGAAGAATTAAAATGCCTTCGCGGGATTATCGCGGGATTCTCAAAATGTCATTGTTTCCCTGTAGTTACTTCATAAAACAATTACCAAATGGTTTTCCGAGCAGAATAGCGTGATCCATGCACTTGGGATGTTGC